CGTCCTCCTGCACCGCCGCGGCGTCCGTGTCCGCGTCTTCGTCGACGCCGACTACATGGCGCTCCTAGGGTCCCAGGTCGGGCCGTTGAGGAGAGCCGGTGAGGGGCGGGGCCGGGCCGCGGTAGGCGGGGCCGCAGTCTGGGCGGCCAATGGGAAAAGGGGAAGCCGGGGCGAACCATCGCGCGTTCCGGGGGGGGAGGCGGGGAATCAACGCAGGGAGGCGGGTGGGGCGGAGCACGCTGGCTGGGGAATTCTGGGAGTTGAAGTCCACCCATCTTCAAGTTGCCACGGTTGAGAACGCTCACCTGAGCCATGTGTGGGTCGCCCACCTGACAGCAGGGAGTTTGGAGGGCCCCCAACGAGGGGCAGCAGCCCCACAAATCGAATCAGCCGGCCAGAGACCGACAATCAGAACGAACCATTGGGAGGTTACGGGGGGAGGTGGAAAAGTAGCAGCAGGAGATGGGTGAGTGGCCCTGGGCTCACCTTGGGGTGGAAGACGGGTGCAGACGTTGTCAGGGGTGAGCGAGCTGGTGGGTTTGGGTTTATCGATCTAAACACAGCCGCCCGTCCACGGCGAGGCTGGACGGCAGGCAAAGGATTCGAACCCAGGACTCAACCCACTGAACATGAACACGCGTCTGGGTTTGGAACGTCCCCTTTCAAAGCCATGAAGGACTAACAAACCCACCCACAGGGCTGCTTTAACCTTCCTGCCTGAACGCTTAAAGGCGCACCCAGCCCTTGAGCGCTTGATGGATGGAGCCTGAAGCGTTGTCAAAAGAAGTGAGAAGGGATGGTTATTCTGCCCCCTCGGTGGCAGGGAAACGGGCGAGTCAAGAGCATCAGGCTGCCCCTGCGTGAGCTCTGCCCTTTCGGACCTGAGCACCAGGCCACGCGGTGTGGCCCTTGTGTCAGGACAGCCTTGCTTTTCCCCACTGACCTGTCGGTCTGACCTCCGGATGAAGAGAGACATAAAAATAACCAACGAGGCGGAAAGGGGTTACAGAAGACGGATGGGTGGTGGAAGAAGAAGAGGGTCAGATGCGGATTTGTGCTAACGCAGGTGGATGGAGGACAAAAGCGAGCGAGCAGAAAGATGAGGTGGTTTGGTCGTACTGACGCCATTCTGCATAAGTTGGGTGACAAGCAAAATTAACTGGCACTGAGTGGAGTTTTCTCTTCTTTCAAAGGGATTCAGGTACGCCATGATCAGGAGAGCGGCTACATGCATCATAAGTTTGCCATCGTTGACAAGAAGGTGCTGATCACAGGCTCCTTGAACTGGACCACTCAAGCAATCCAGAACAACAGAGAGAATGTGCTGGTGGTAGAAGATCAGGATTGCGTGAACATTTTTCTGGCAGAATTTGAAAAGATTTGGGAAGACTACAATCCTGCTAATTATACATTTTTCTCTGAACATGAGAAACAGGGGCTGGAAAAGGGTAAAGCTAATTCTGGGACAAAAATATAGTGTGGCAGAGAAAATAGGGTTTGGGGAGTTTGGGTTCAGAAACTCTCGGGTTATTTGGGAATGGCAGTTACTTTAAAATGAAGGTAAGTAGCAAGCAAAGAATTACACAAGCAGTGTATTCCTAAGTGTGTTCCATAAGTTTACTTTCCAAGGAATAGAACTTGAGATATGCTTTATTAAGTGATATAAACCTGCAGGAATATTACAGAACACTGAAGACAGAATGCAATGCAGGAATTGTATACTGATCTTTGTAAACCCATTTCCTGCATGTGGAAAGTTAACATTCCAAGATGTTACCTTTAATCTGTGAACATATGCGGGATCAGCTCTCGCATCTGTATCGGGAGAGAGAAGAGGCTCAGGAAGGCTGAAAAACCACCATCCAAGGAGCAGTTGAAATCCTGAGCTATGGAACAGATCATGTCCGTGCTACATGTTTGAACTCTGGGACTTAAGAACCTGAAAGCAGGAAGTGGAGAGGCAGAACCGTCTAACTGCATGTTTAGAACTCTAAGAACATGTCCAAGTGCAGCCAAAGCTACGATGACACTGTTTAAATGTTTCTCTGTGTCAAAGGGTATTAGTAGCAGTGGCTTTAAGTCTTGTGTTACTGATGAGAAAGATGCCAAGAGAACTCTTGGAAGAGACTAAAACATTATTTGAGGCAAATATTAATCTATGAATGCTTTGAATAAGTTGTCAGGGCTTTACCTCCGATTTGTTTCGTTCTTTTAGTGATTAAAGCTGTGGTTCCAAAGAACAGGTGTGAATGTGTTTATTGCAATATTTTTGGGACAATAACACTCAGCTAGTTGTGAAGTAGCTACATGTACCCCTGGCTGACTGAAAGGTAATTAGCTGTTAGAAATAATCCAGCACCTACTTTTGTAAGTAACAACTGCTTATCTTTCAGTTGTTGATTTCAATTCAATGTTTACACACTCTGCTTTAAAGCAATTCTTTTATTTCTACTGAAATTTAGTAGGGAATACCACTCTCTATGAAGCCAGCATCATGACCAATTACTTGTAAAATCACATGCTTTAGCAGTACAGTAACACTGAAGGATGTGCCATCTCCAGCTACAATAAAAACCTTCGTTACAGCATACCAAGGGTGGTGCAAAAATAGTTTATTACGATATAATTTTATGTATAGGTAAGTAATTATATTTACAAAATAATCATCAGCTACATCCATGGGAACCCTAGCATGTCACACAAGGTTTGTAAGGAATAAATACTGTGACATAAGTGATATTTCTACAGTGAACAGCTGAAGGGAGAATTAGCTCCCTTAAAAGCATGAAGAGACACCATTCAGAATCTCACGAGATTCAAACACATTCTTTGAGAGAGAGAGGTTGGACGCATCGTTCAGCAGATAGATTTGCCAGGACTTTCCTGAGTCCCCCTAAAACACGCCCTCTTGGTTTGAGTGGACTGCTTGTTTACCTGCCCTCCAAATGGACTCACCTTATTACACCCTGAATTTTGCTGGTAGGCACGAATTATACATTCCCACGCTCAGCTCTCAGATGACCCCTTTGTGATCCAATCAGCTATCGCCGACTTGGTGAAGCTTACGTGGGACTCAGAGGGGCAGACGTGGTGGCCTCAGCAGCTTTCTGAAGGAAGGTGGTGATGAGTAGCCCAGGAGGAAGGACCTCATAGTGATCCATGTGCACAGCCTCCCCATTCCCTCTCCGGCCACACCTACTTTGTCCAGACAAGTTCATATGGAGGGAATGGATCAGCAGAGTCTTCAGCCGTTCAAGAACAACGGGATTCAGACATTTCTTACGCGTGGTTGCTTCTGGCTTATATTTAAAGTAGTAATGGTGTTACTCTACTGAGAGAAGGAAATGACATCTAGCCAATTCTCACAACCCGATGGAGTTCCACTGTTAACAGCTCGTTTCATTGACTCTTGTGCAGACTTACAGGCATGGCTAATTCCATGGCAAAACCAAGATTTTTCTTAGGACTATTCCCCAATGCTTGTAGTTGGTCACGGGCTCTAATTCTATTAGCAAGGGTGCTCCCCCCACTGAACGCCCCCCCCGAAGCTACATTGTCATGTACAATAGTGTAACTGTGAAGGGAACTATCAAAACTACAGAAGCTGTATTCTGCCATGCTGTGACCACAGTGCAGAATAACACGATACAGATAGATGGACAGTAGGAAGCAAAATCTACTCGGTTTCCTTGGAGAAATCCTTGGTTTAGTCTGCAACAGTGTTAACATGCAATAATAAGGTGTATCTTTGATGACTTAGAGATGCTACCATCACCACTGCTCTATGAACATACAGTAAAGCCTCAATTTATTGGACCGTAACAGATTTCGAACACAGCAGACCAAGTCCATTTGCCACTGTATGCATACATACAATCCTATGTGTTATTTAATGGACATTGAGGTCTAACAGATGCCCTCCCGTTAGTCCATTAAACTGAGTTTACTGTAATGTAACTGCATATCCCAGGTTATTTACGCCACTGTCAGTTACAAGCTTACTGAATTGAATGAGGAAGAAAACTACTGTATAGTAAGTAGGTTTTAAAACACTGTACGTATTTTCTTTGGAGAGGCATTTCCAAAACTAAAAAGGATCAGAGAAATTTAAAAATATATTTATAGCATTCAAACAAACCAACAAACATTCTGTAAGGGAACAAGGAGCAGGATTATCAGGTTACACTAATTTCCTTTTCCAAGTCAAAAGGAAATCTGTATTAGAACAAGATTAAAAAAGAAAGTCACCCCAAAAAACCCTCCACTAGTTTTTGAGTAATAAATATTTACATTGCGTGCTTTGAATACTATACAGGTCTTAAATTACTTTTAGAGAATAACAAAGCTTTAAAAAATGGGGGGAAATTACAAAGGAAAGATAAGCGTGCATGTGCTTAAAGTGTTCACAACCAAGTACTCTGCATATGAACCATTGAAATGGGGGGGGGGAGTCCAGTGGGATTCTAATCAAGTATGTTGTCATTACAAAAAGCAACATTTTTTCCTAACCACCACACAGGGCTACTTGCAGGCAGCCTCTGCCACAGGAAAAACAGCCTGCTTGGGTTCTGTGTATCAGCACAAGCGATCCTCCTTTTCCCATTTCTTAGCAGGAAAAAGAAAAACAAACGGCATGGACAGAGTTCTGCTTTGAAAGAAGGAAAAAAACAGTAAGATCGGCAGTGGACAACATCCAGAAAGCCATATTTCAGGTGTGTTTATACTGTGCATCCACCTGTGCTGAACGTTCATCAAGAATACCCATTCTCTTGATCTCTGGAGTACAGAATTGTGTAAAAACGCAGCAACTTGCATCTGAATATACCCAGTCATGCCCTTTTAAGAGCCTTTCAAGAAATGCACCTTCCCAAACACCCACTTGCTTTGTTGGGTAGGGAACAGCACCTTGTTCACAGCAGTATAGTCAGTTTTGTGTGAAAGGAGGTGGGGTTGCTTTACTCTTCTTTTAAACATCACTTTAAATGTTTGAGAAACCATCTTGGAGCAGTGACATTTCTCTCTTTAGAAAGGAAGCACGTGAATGAACTTCAGGGATTTTCCGAAAGATCCTTTGTTCATCCGGCAGACTGCTATCAAAGTTGCAGGAAAACTACGTGAGTAAAATTACAATTCTTGTACCCGGTTCAGCCTAGTCCAGGTGAAGGAGAGAGGAAAAAACAGGCCTGCAATACAATTTCAGAGGCAGATGCCACAACCACATTTCCTTCCGCCATCGGATAAGATACACTGCGAATTCCAACATGCACAAGTCAGTCCTCGCAAGTGCTTTGGGGCTTCCATATCTACTTTAAAATTCACTTCTAGACACGCAACCTGCAATCACAAAGTTGCAGTTTGGTAGGGAGACTACTCAGGTCTAAGAGAGCAACGAGTCCTGAAGAAAACCCTAACCTAAGTAAAAATAGGAAGATCTCCTTCGTCTTATCCATTTATGGCAGCCACATTTCGCAGAATTCTACTGTTGTGGCATGTCGGATATAGTCAGGAGCCTAAAATTCACACATCACCTGGCTAGCTGCCCTTAAGGTATCTTATACTAAGGTAACCTTTTGCTTCAGGTCTACTGCTAGGAAACGGATGAGGTTTTTTGGGGGAGGGGGGACAACTCATTTCATTGCTATCCATCTAATTAAATTCTAAGAATTGCATGGAACTAAAAGAAATGAACCAATCCTAGCTGGGAACAGCAGGACTTCACGGAGTTGTTCTTGTCCCAAAGTTCAGCAGTTTTTATTCCAAATAAGCAGCAGAAACTTAACCGAGTAAGAGCAAAAAACTCCACCTTAAGGGCCTTAAAATTTGTAGAATTGGGGTAGAACACACTAGTCATCTGCAAGGTGGGGGGGGGGGACAAGGCTTGTTCATAATGCTTTTGAGTTGTTAATGCTGAAATTTCAAGCATCCACTTTGAAGTAGTTCTATTCATCTGCTTTTGCAAAGGCATTTTAACACTTCCAACTGTCTTCTTGGAAAAGCTGTATAAATTCTGGATCCTAATGCATCCACGAATCTATTCACTACTTTTTCGGGTGGCTGGGCCCAGGGTACGGGGGGAATCAGAAGTCATGCAGACCCGCTTCATTTCAGGTGAATCAGCACTAAATCCTGAGAATTCTTTGGGGATAATGGTTAACCTGGTCTTTTCCAAATGCCGCTTTTAGTAGGCTTAGCTTATGACCTGTTATCCAGGTGTTCCTTTTAAGTTCTTTGCAGTTCCTTTGCAACTGAATATCCTCACACAGACACTGTCACCTTGCATAAACACACAGAAGGCACACCTCCAACTGGTTTTAGGCCTGTTAAATCAAACTCCCCTGACCCCATTTCTGCCTGGGAAGCTCACCTTTCTTGCATGTCAGAACCCCTGTCTTCCTTTGCCCTTCTGTTTACAATTCGGTAGCACTCTGGGTGGCTGCGTGGTGGAAACTGACTGAAACAGATTCCCAAGGACAAACACAATCCCTTTTTTTTCCTTTAAAGGCCACCTTTAAGAAAGCTGCAGGGTAAAACTCGATTTCTCGGTCCACAGCAGACGAGAGAAATGTCTTGAGTCATGCTGTTTTATGGATGCACAGAACCCACTGAGACTAGGAGAAAGGGTGAACCATAACTGGAAGGGGGTAATGAATTGTAGCGGTCTTAAGGATGACGTTCTTCTAAGATCCTGACTAATGTGGAGTCTGTCACACCTCAACCATGGCTCTAAGCTGGCTTAGTTAGAGAAAAAAAAAAATTCAGAAAGTTGCTAAGTTACATTAAGGGCTGAATCCCTGCTAACCACACAGTACAACAATTAAGACACTACTCAAGGCCAGCCCAGAGTGCCTTTTCTCCCCATAGAAGCAAGGCTTGTTTTGTTTCTCAACCCTCAAAGGTGTTGGAGTGCTTGCCACGCCAACCCCAGTTGGCTTCAGAGGTGCAACGTTTGGCTCAAAACATGCGCCTAAGTGCTGTGTTGCTCTCCACGTGGGTAGAGCTAAGCTGGAGGTGTGTCTTCCCTCCCCCTTCCCTTCCCTTCCCTTCCCAGGGCTCTGCTGCGATGCGATACCAACACATCGGTAAAACAGAGCTAGCTTATCTATAGGGCCGTTGAGCCTTAATACTGACACTTAGTGTAATGGATATACAGTAGGAAGGATTTTTTTTTTTCTTTAAAGAGCCCAAAGGGGAAATCTCTAATCTCTCCCTGCATTCTTGCCAAAAGTAGGGACTTTTTAATTCAGAAACATCAGGGAATCTGTTTAATCCGGTGTTTCTCAACCTTAGCAAGTTGAAGATGGGTGGACGTCCACCCCTCTTCAACTTGCTAAGGTTGAGAAACATGGATCTCATCCATTTGAAGGTGGGACAGAAAAATAGCTGGGATTGTTCAGTCTGTTCATCTGGAGCAGCACGATAAAAATACCCCCTCCCAACCAAGCAAAACATAATGAAAAAAAGCAAAAAAAAGAAGAAGAAGAAGAAGAAGAAGAAGGGTGCTCGTGTTGTGATGTGGCAAGCAAGGCGGTGCACATGGTCAAGCCGGAAACGAAGGAGAGAATCAGTCTTTCTTCAAGTCCTTGGATTCAAAGAGCTTAAGGCGCTCCTGCACCGTCAGGCCTTCCTTCAAACTCTGGGGGGAGAGAGAGAAAAATCAAACCGTGAAATGCTATCCTGGTGGAAAGGGCCAACTCCAACAAGGGGGAAGATGCTCAGGCAGTGGAAAAAGCAAGAGACGAAATTTTCAGGTTTAAAAACATGCCAAAGAAAATGCACCATTATGGAGAAGTGTTACTGAGAATCGATGCTGAATGGAGGAAGAGCGAGATGACCACAGACGCAGCAAACTACAGAGTGACCACTTAGCGATTCTGAAGCACATTTACATGCTTTCAACTCCACAAGGGCTACAAAGCTGTTCTTTCCATATAACGTATTTGCTCCATTTCCTGCTAATTGTTCCAAGACAACACAGGACCACTTCGTGCAGGACGGGGACTCTTGTAGAACTGGGATTCCAGAAAAAAAGTCCGGGGGATATTTTTAAGGAACTGAGACTCTGGTTCAACCTGTTGTGGTAAGAGCAGAAGGTCATACCTCCTTTACGAATCAGAGAAGAATAGAGTTTGATGCTTCGATTTGATTGCACAAGGTCAACTGTCACCTGGCAAACGCCAGCTGCACACCAGCCAGATTTGCATTTGCTGTTTCCAAGCAACTTTTGGCATCACCAACCTTCTCAGAGATACTTGTGGTGACAATAGAAAGCAACCTGGTGCCATCCAGCTGGGTTAGGGCTAAACCTAGAATGCCCAGTTCCCTGGCTGGGAAAAGCTGCTGCCCTGAGCATTTAAAAGCCAGAACTTTAAAATGTGAAACAGGTAATGTAGCGGCTCCCAGCCTCTGGGAAATGCAATTACTCACTGTATTCCTTGTCACAATGATTAGGAAGAGAGTTGTAAGAACTGACAATCCTGCTTTGCACATATGTGCAAATTGGATGAGGTTAGTGGGATGGATGGGACCGTTGGAAACTGAAAATACTTTGTGTTGAACATGAAATAGATGCCTTGAGTGTGCAACAGATTCTTCCAAGCATTTTGGAAGAGAAGCTCAAACAGTACTTTGTAACTTGAAGCTGTTGTTTCACCTTGGAAATAGGATGATCCCGATTCAAAATGGTGCAAGATGTTTTGCACGTTCTTTGGAGAGGAATGGGCTCTACCATGGCTTAGTAGATGCTGCAACAGCTGGCAAATTTATGTCTTACAGAGGCTTATGGTACTGCCAGAGCGAGAATGCCCCCTTCAGTCTAAAGTGTACACACATCATTTTAAATGCTCTTCCCCAAATCTAACATATGACGCTAAAGATAGCTAGCTTTGCATCTTTCACCATGCCAAGATGACTCACGGTTAAATTCTCCCATTTGTGACCTCGTAGACTGATAGGAAACCAGAATGTCGTATACATGATCATTCTGCAAGAATAGCAACTTGTAAGAGCCACTGGGAGTTGGGCAGTCTACAAATTGTATAAATTCTATAAAATGTATACATAAAATAAAATGTATACATCAGCTCGGTAGATATTTCAAGACTTTGCCAACAGCAAGAAGTGCAATGCTAATCCGTACCAAGTCTAGAACCTCGCTAAGGCCATATTTGTTCTCCAAATTATAACTACTAAAGGATAAAATGGCAACAGTTATCTGACTGGAATTAAAAATCTGAAGATGTAAATGGTCAAGTAAGGGCCTTAACTTGGCAGGCTATAATATACTAACCTCTGAAAATTAAAAAAAACTTTGTTTAGCTTGTGCTTATTTGTTGAGAAATAGCCCTTTTTTCCCCACGATAACATATATGTTCCTGCAGTAGCAATGCAAGTTCTCCTTTTTTAATGATAGCCTAACTTCTACCAGGCCATCCCGAAAGCAAAAATTTCAAGATGTGAATTAAGACAGAAGAAAATTAACAAAAAACCTAGGTAGATGGAATGATTTGGGCCACCACATTTAATGGGTAAAGTAACTTTTAATTGTGAAAAAAATTGGGATACCTTCCTTGTGCAAACACTACCAGCTTTCCAGCAATAATTGGCCGTGCCTACTTCAGCAGCATATTGGCTCAGATGAATTGGCGCTAGCAACCAAAACTAGGGAATCAAACATGATCCTTCTGTCCCAAAGTTCTGCCTGCTGTGGAGTAGTAAGTGGAAGCATGCACATTCATCCAGCATGCACGCTCTTTGTCATGCCCTCAACAGAGCTCCCCGTACGCCAGCCGAGATGGTAAAGAAGACTTTGTAGTGATGGATGTCAGTGAAGACAGGATGAGAGAGAAGGGTGGTTGCAGCCACTGATTGGGGGTGAGGATCTACTCCTGCTCTGCCCACCCAAGTCCCATGGTTTCTGGGGGGTGGGTGAAAGACTCTTATTAGCTATGGAAACATCAGCAGAACATGCATTTAAGTGCACTGCCCCTTCAGAGAAGTAGCATCGTTGAACAGGTGGCGGTTGGATTACCTAGATGGCAGGGACCCTGGAATCTGGCGCATTTCAGTTATCCCATGAAGCCTGCTCAATTACGGACTGTTATCGGAAGTGAAGACAAAGAACAAAAACAAGAAACACATAAATCCTATCGTGGTCCACAATGCAAACATCTTCCCTCCCACTCCGGCAAGGAGGAGGCCAATGCCAAACTGAGCTTCCTTGCTCATGGCTACACGAATCCATAATATATATTTTTAAATAATTAAAAGCACAGATCAGCAATAAAGAGAAGCTGCACCAGAAGGAAATAAAACTAAGTCTTCCTGCGCATTGAGAAAGAAGTAGCACGCAGAGAAAGGGGCAGGATACAAGCAAAACCAATTTGAATTTAATGAATAATAATAGAACGTCTTTCTCTAACCTACTGGTGCGTTCTTTGAACTTTGCTGGTGGTTGAGAGGCTTACAAAGTGGGTGGTTTTAGCTTAGGGACTGCCATTCCTCCTAACAGTTCTATGTCAAATGTCTCCCAATGTGGAACGAGAAGGTGGGGTGCACCAGAATGGGCTAAGGCGCTAAAGGATGAAGGGCCTTACCCTAGCCCTACCCTTGTGGGCTACTTGAAACTGTTCCCTTAAAGCAGTGTTTCTCAAACACGGCCACTTTAAGACATGTGGACTTCCACTCCCAGAATTCTGGAAGTGGAAGTCCATATGACTTAAAGTGGCCGTGTTTGAGAAACACTGTCTTAAAGCCTCATGCTTTAAACATGTTGCTCATAACTCAAAGCGCAGAAGAATGATTGTACTCGACTGCATTTATTGCTTCTTGGCCTTTTGGCTAAGATCAAGTGTGCGTGACTGCATTTTTTTGGTCCAACTATGGAAGCGAATTGCTCCTACTTTCTTCTGGGACTTGTGTTGGCTTCTCAAGCTAGCCCAAAGCCGTGGAATTCTCAGGTGATCCCCCATCCAAGTATTAGCCAGAGCCTACCCAGCTCAGCTTGAAATCAGCTAAATTTGGTTAGATGTTGCTACCTGTTGAGGCAGAAACAACCATAGATAGGATTACTCCTAAGGTGTTGCGCATATAACCACGTTTTGCAGGGAAGATGGAAAGACGACATGAACTCACCTTTGACCTGATATTTCGTAGTTGCCGGCCAATGCTGGTCCTGTCCTTCTTCAAGAAATCCGGATTGCTTTTAGATTTCATGATATCTAGGTAGGAAAGAAAGGAAGCCAATGTAACTTCTTGTTGAAAACCTGCAGGTCAGAATTTCCCCCACAAAGATGGCTACAAGAAAGTCACTATCACAGCCTCTTCCACCTCAAGGCAACGACACCCCAAGATAGGTATCAGTCCCTAAAGAAATCCAATTTGGTCACCAATTCTAATGCTAGGTTTCTGGACCAGCCAAGTCCAGTTCAAGGAGATTTCAAAAGAGTAGTTGATGTTCCTTCCTTGGTTGACCATCCCTCCCTGCTGTACGGCCAAGG